CCAAAATGAGATGGGAAAATAGATGCCTTCATTAATCTTTCATGATCGATTTTCTTCCTCGCAGAAATTGACAGCTTAATGTTACAGTTGCAGTACATCTCCTAGATGTACAATTTCAGGAGCAGAAATTTGTTAGATCAAGTTAAAGCTTTATAAAACTGATCAGAAAACAAGGCCTGAGTTCTGGGAAATGTTTTATGCTTATCTTCATGGCTGGAGGTGGAAAGGGACACTTTCTGGTGCTGTTGGGTAAAGTCATCACTTCTCCCAGTTCCAACCTGCCTCCCAATTGCTTCGTTCCACCGAGGCTCAGAAGTCTTTGGGATGCAGCCCTGAGATGAGAAACGTGGAAAGGAAAGTTTCTTCTTCTGGGAGGAAGTTTGAAGTTGTCATTAAGAAGTATAAAGTTTAAAATCAAGTTTCCTACTGTCAGTAGATACCAGGTGTGTTGATTGTGGTGAGATGCCAGATGACCTGCCACTGTGCTCAATGGGTAACTAAGAAGGCAGAAAATGAAGCTGTGCAAGCCCAGTTAAGCTGTCCAATGCCTTTTGTTCAGTTGAACCTGAAATGTGTTCTTTCAAAGCCAAAAAAATCCACTCCCCATCAGTAGTGGTGCAGTAAAGCACATACTGTGCCATGCACTCTTGGCTTTACAGGTAAATGCTGTTGGTTTCTTCATGGCTTGCCTCTGATGTTCTCTCTTACCTGATCTTTTTGCAGGGACACAGCAGGGCAGGAGCGGTTTCACACCATCACCACCTCCTACTACAGAGGTGCCATGGGAATCATGCTAGTATATGACATCACCAATGCCAAGAGCTTTGAAAACATCAGCAAGTGGCTCAGAAACATAGATGAGGTGAGTAAATGTGTAAGATCCCAGAGTGAGCAGTCTGCCAGCTTGTGATGTCCTGCAGAGCCCAGCTTCTGGTGTGACAGCACAGGGCTTTGGTGCTGTTCTTACCCTGACTTATCTCCTGTATGAGCTCAGCTCTCCCTTCAGTACCACAGAGGGTTGCACTGGGGCTGGTGGTGTCCTGAAATGTCATATTCATGCACAGGCTCTGCAGTGGAGCATGCTTGGAGGTAAGGGATACATTTTTGGTAACTGGGCTGTTTTGAGGAGGAGCTGCCACCACAAGGCAGTGTGCAGGGGAACAGCACGAAGCAGTAAGCTGTGGAGTAGCTATAGAATATAACAGCTCTGTGACTAAGCTGTTTTATTAGGCTGTGTAGTCCTCAAAGATAGTTAAATATGCTCACCTTTGCTCCCTCTAAACTGATGTCGTGGTGAAAGGATCTTGCAGAGCACAAATACTGCGTTGGGCCTTTAGTTGTGTCAAGGCAGAGATTGAAGTGGGTACAGAAGTAAAAGATGGGGAAAAGAGCAGGCTAGGACAGGGAAGAAACTCAGCAGAGAACTAAAGGTAAACTTGAAATCAAGGCCTTTATGTTCTGCAGTTGCTGTGTTTAAAACACTCACTGTGTTTAGTAACCAGGAAGTGGAGCAGTGACTGTAATTCATGCCGTTGTCTGAGATAGTGAGGGTTTTTTTGCTGACCTCATGTTTGCAGATCCGTTGCACAGAGCTTTGCAGCTGATTTCAGGTGCATGGTGAGGGCTGCACAACTGCTGCAGTTTGATGAGGGATGTTTGACACCTTAGGAAGCTTTTGTGATTATGGAAGAAGCCCCCAAGTAGAGAGCATGTACAGAAATGATGGGTGAATTCTTCCTTCTGAGTTTCCTGCCCCAGCATTCAGGCTTCTTGCTAAAACATGTGGTGGATGTTACCTCCTCACCTACAGGGTTATTGTGAAGGATAGTTGGCAAAAGAAACACTTAAAAACACTTCTGTTTGACAAGGAGTTAATATTGCCAAGGATATTCTGTCAATAATGAAGATTTCAGATAAGGAAGCTGGTGTGACTTGCTGCCCTGTGTGAGGGGGCTCTTCCATAGGACCAGTAAACCCTAATTTAGAAATAACCAGGAAAGCTACAGATGTGTAACGATGCTGCACCTTCCTCCTTGCTCAGTACCTGATTATCTAACTCACATTCTGCAGAGTTGCACCACACAAAGAGTGCACTTTTACTGTGGGGTGTTCAAGTCAGTTGAGTTGTTCTGGTGCTGCACAGTTTTATCCATGGAGCCTGGCTTGTTTTTGTCTGCTGTGGAAGCAGTTCTGTGTGCATGAAACACGAACATTTTTGATGTCTTATCCTACACAACATCTTAATCTTTGCTATTGGATGGTTCCTTCTCCTTATGACCTGAAGGAGAAAGTTGGAGGTGGTTCTCTTCAGGAATGTGAAACGGGTTGTTACTATAAGCAGGAGTATTGGATACACAAATCAGTGTTAGTAATTGTGCTGCAAAGTAGCATTAAGACTGCTGGAGTGAAAGTAAGTGGAGATTAGGCTTCCCAAGAAGCTTCTCATGTCAGGCCTCAAAGCACTTCAGTTATCCACTTAAGTGATGCTTTGTGCCGTGGCTCTGCTGTTCTGATGGATATCCTTGGCATGTTCTTTCTTTATTATGATGTCTGTTGGTGGTCATTCAATAACAGAACAGCCAAGGTATTTTTGGCTCCTGCAGCATTCCTTGAGAAGCCCTTGGTGCTCTGTTTTGCCTTGCAGGACTGATTCCCTGTGTATGGGGTCCTGTTTTTTGCTGGTTCTTGAGCGTGGTGCTCGCTCTGCTTCTCCCTTTATGATGTTTTTTGTCATTAGAGAGACTTACCTGTCTACAATAAAGCTATGTAGAGGGGTCCTTCAAACACCAAGAAAAAGTAACAGTGTCAGCTGGAGCCACTGCAGTGTATGGAGCTCAATTGTTGGCAGCTGTGATGTGGGGATTTGTTTTGTCCCCTACTGTTTAGGCCTTTGTAGCATTTCTATAACTGTGGTAATGCTAACATCTCCGAGCGCCAGGCAGGAAGCCATTCATTATCCCACATCTCTGAATGCATCCCAGCCAAGGTTTGGCATGCTGAAGGTAACTGGAAGAATCTGAGTTTGGAAACAGTGCTTAGTTCTCTTTGGAAAGGAAGACAACACACTTGAGAACGTACAAACAAAAAGGAAAGGGAGAAATAACTGATACTGGGATGGTGAGTTCCATCTTGTGCTACTGCCATTGTTTCATTCTGCTTCCTCTTTGGTCTGAAGGTGGAGTGACCTCTAGCAGCTTTTGTTAGAATTCAGGAAATTGCAGGTCCTGTAAGTGTTAGCCTGCACTTCAGGCAGTCTGGAAGTACAGAAGTGCAATAGATACTTGCTGCTGGCTGGGGGAGATGTGTCAACCTGGTTCTTATCTCATTTTAGCATGCCAATGAAGATGTGGAGAGGATGCTGTTAGGAAACAAGTGTGACATGGAAGATAAAAGAGTTGTTCCTAAAGCAAAAGGTGAACAGGTAGGTGCTGGAGACAAACTTGCTTTTCCAAGTAAGCACATCAGTGCCAGGGGTTGCACTGTTGTTGGGTGGTGTGGATTCCACAGTGGGGTATGAGATGGCTGGATTTGCTGATAGTGTGTAAGCCTGAGCAGCATGTTCTTAGAAGCTGCACTGTGTTCAACTGCCATGAATGGAGTGAGCTCAGCTGCAGTTTCTTTTTGGATAGCTCGAATTCCTTGATTATCCTTTGTGAGGTTGCTCGTGCTGTGACTGGTCTGCGTGGTGCCTGTCCTCATTCACTTGTGCTTTAACACACTTGAATTTCTGATTCTGGTGGTTACGTTCCAGATTGGTTTTGATTGACCAGTACTGCTGCTTCTGTGCTGAGAGAATGCTGCGTGCTTATCGTGTGAGCAGCACCAGCTGAAAACCCCACGGGGATGATAACCTTCCTTCTTCTTCTGTCTTTTGGTTTAGATTGCTAGGGAGCACGGTATTAGGTTTTTCGAAACTAGTGCGAAAGCAAATATAAACATTGAGAAGGCATTCCTCACATTAGCAGAAGACATTCTTCGAAAGGTAGGTGATGGTGGGATCTGGTTGGGGGAAAATTGAAATCCTAAAATGTCAACTCATGTTGCTTTGGATGTTCACCTTTTGACTTCGGTACGCTAAGGCAATCAAGCCCCAAAGGAGGAGTGTGTGCTCTGAAAGCTTCAGAGCCTCTGAAGCCTGTTTGATGCTTCATTGCTGTGCAGGTGCTATCTAGAGGAGGTGGCATACACCAAAGAGCCAAGGCATCTAAATTCAGCCCTTAAACTTATTTGATTCACATGTAGTGCTTGAAGGTAAAAACACCAGAATGAGTTTGAAGGAGAAGTGGCCCTTCCCTGCCACCTTCATTTGTTCCTGCTTTGTGAATGTGGGTGTTCACTGCTTCCTGTCTTGAATGACCGAAGCTTTTCTTAATCCTGAGGAGACCCAAAGTCACTGGAACCTGTAGGGATGAAACCTGGGCCTGCTTTCCTGTCTCCCTGTGTCAGGGAGTCCTCAGATTTCTGTTCTGACCAGGCTGCAAAACTACAGCCAAAGGAATTTAACAGTTGGCAGTGACAGAGAATCCATTGGACCCCCAGTAATTCTGGTGGCTGTGCTTCAAAACTTACTGCTTTAAGCACTCGATTTCTGCTGTGTTACAACGCGTTTCACTGTAGAGATCAGATTCCCACATAAGGGAATCCTCTGCCTTTTACCATATTTTTCCCTGCCACTTTTTCTTCAGTTATGCCACTTTTTTTTTTTTTTTTCCAGTTGAATCATTTTTATCAATACTCAACATTGTCTAAAAGCTTTTAAGTATCTGCCAGGATGGGTTTTGATTGGTGGAAGTGGATCTGTCCATTCCTAGAGTCACAGAATGGCCAGGGTTGGAAGGGACCTCAAGGATCACGAAGCTCCAACCCTCTGCCACATGCAGGGCCACCAACCTCCCCATTTCATAGCAGCCCAGGCTGCCCAGGGCCCCATCCAACCTGGCCTTGAACACCTCCAGGGATGGACGGGGCATCACAGCCTCTCTGGGCAGCTGTTCCAGCACCTCACCGCTCTCATAGGAAAGAACTTCCCCTGACATCCACCCTAAACCTTCCCTCTTCAACTTCAAACCATTTTCTTCCTACTTTGGTTCAGTGATTGGCCTGCTCTATCCTCTACATTTCTTGAGAGGTCTTGCTCAGAAGGTTAAATTGCAGCTGAGAGAGGAAGATGGCTCACCAGGTCTCCCTGGTGGTTGGTTCTCCCTCCTGAATTGCACCACGTGCCATCAGGAGGGCTGTCTTTCCTGAGAATCTCACTGTTCTGTTGCTGGATTGAGCTGGATATGGATGTGCAGGTGGCTCTGGGGTTGATTTTCAGTCAGCTGATGTTCTCCCATTGCCAAAGACTTGATTAGCACCTTCCTGCTTACCATCAGCTCCATCTCCACACTGCTGACCCTCCTGGCCTTTGCGTTTTTACTTTGACCTCAGTGCATTTCTCTGAATAACGAGGTAGGATGGGGAGCAACTCTGTTGCAAGGCTGCGAGGTAGAGAACGAGAAGAGGAGCAAAGGGACTGAATGCTGCATTCTCACAAATGTATAGTGTTATTTTCTGGAAATAGACACCATCATCTGATCAAACCCAGCAGGCCAGAGCTGTGCTTTGACCCAGCCACGTTTACGTGCCGTGATGCAGATGAGCCTCAGCGTCCTGACGAGTGGAAGGCAGATGCTTTTGAGCAGCCCTGCTTTAAAATCCATATCCTTCTCAATCCATCCGTCACTCTGCCACTTTTAAGGCCATCAGTTTGCACAACTCAACCCGCTGGGATTTACCTCCTCCGAGTGTCGGTTCTGAAGGCAGAGGCTGGATATCATCCCTGTCCACTTCAGAGCTGGGAGGCTTTCCCCAGCTTTTCAAGCGTCGATTTGGAACGACGACAACAAAAAACCCCATAGGCTTGTCCTGCACAGCTGTGCTGGCAAAGGGAGGGAGCATTCCTGGTGTCCTTCAGAGCATTTTGCCCCCTGATTCGGGTTGTTACGTGGCAACATCGATCTCGATGCAGCCCCTGCCTCTTGTCCCCTCATCACCTGGACTTCCCAATGCCTCGGGAGCTCTCTAACCTTCTCGCTTGTTTCATTGCAGACGCCTGTAAAAGAGCCCAACAGTGAAAATGTAGATATCAGCAGCGGAGGTGGGGTGACAGGCTGGAAGAGCAAGTGTTGCTGAGCGTTCTCCTGTATCACCAATCGCCATCCACCGCCTCTTTTTTCTCGCTGCAAAACAAACCACTCTGTCCGTTTTTAACCTTCAGCCGATGTTTTGTTCCTCATCTTAACGAGCTCCTGTCTCCCTTTGTTCTCCCGTGTAGGACAGCTTGCATACTATAATTTCCTCAACGTGTGTAGGAAAATCACCTCCGTGACTTCATTTTTTCATGTACCTGCTCCACTTACCACTACGTTTTGGTTGTATTATAGCCCCTCTCCTCCCGACGTTCAAACATAGAGCAATCGTATCCAGCTCTCCTCTGCAAATTGTATAAGAATAAAAGTTAGAATTAACAATTCATTTTGTACGACAGTGGAATTTTCTGTCATGGATAATGTGCTCGAGTCACCGTGTTCACTAGATGCATCAGCAAAAGAGCCAGGAAAACACTCGTGTTCGCCTTGATACGTGAATGGGGTTTCTTTTGTCCTGTGCCTTACGTGGAAAGGAACTTTTAATTTTCACTTTGATTTCTCTTCTGGTGGAAGCATGTGCAGGAGACATAGCATCCATCCCCGACCATTTCCAAGTACCCGACTCTTTTGTGATTGCTTTCTGTCACTGTTGGTGTCGTGCATCGAGGACAAAGGGTGGTGCAAAAAACAAAACAAAAACAAACCTACTGCTACTACTGCTGCTCCATTTAACCTGCCGCCTCTCCTGTTGGTGACCTCGCCATCGGAACCGTTCCTGCTGCCGTTTTCTTTTCTCACTCGCAGCTCTTTCCTTTTTGCCTGCATGCTGCTTTTATTTGCTTCCCTCCATGGTGTGATGTGTTAATTAAAAAGGATGGCAACGCGGTATGTTTGCCAAAAAACTTAATACAAAGCACTGATTTAGCTTTCGAGGTAAGATGTTGACGAATACCTACTAATTTCCCTCTAGCCAATGTCAGTTCACTAGTATATCCTCTCTCCTCCTGCATAGCCGTTGGGTTTTATGATATGGAAGAGTTATTTGCATGCACTAGTTTTCTATGGAGGGTGATGTGGTTGTCTACTTTATGTGTATGAATATAACACGCCATTCCCAAACTGACAGCATTCAACTTGTTCAGTTCTCTCACCGTTAGCCGCTCCCACCACGAGCCGCTGGGCAGCCGGGCACGAGGCCGAGTCAGACTTAGGTGACAAAGGAACGATAGCGACAAAACGAAGACGAAAGTCGGCCGTTTAATTTATTACCTCCCCCCACAAACCTTCCTCTTCCCGAGCTCGCATTCATCCGCTCGGGTTTTGGACTCCCTCCAGCGAGTAACGTAGCGGGGAATCGCAATGGTAGCGGATTGAGTCGCCATGAAATGACCGTGTTGGGATGGGCGTCCTGCTTCCGAGCCGCCTCACGTAGGGCTCCCCGTCCCTGGCCCGTTTGGCTCCACCTCCCGCCTAAACTGCACTTTTTGGAACCTTCTCTCTCAAAAAAAAAAGGGAAAAAAAGGAGAAAATAGGCATCTTGTTGTTGTTGTTGTTGTTTTTTTCTTTCATATATAACCTTTCTTTGAAACGTGAGCTTTTTATTTGCTCCTGGGGCTTGGCTCCTTCTGTGTCAACCCATCGGGACCCTCTGTAGGCGCTGTGCTGGTGGCTCCCACCCCTTACACCCAACCTTGGCCAAGTCTTTAAACCCAAACATCGCTACAGGTTCTGCTTCCCTTCATGCAAAAAAAACCCACCAACCAAACCTGAATGTCGATCCCGTAGCTTGGCCTGGCTTGGTTTGTAGCGGAGTGCAGGGCCCAGCTGAGGGGGAGCGAGCAACCAGAGTCGGTTCAGATGCTGAAACGTAACGAATAACAGTGTTGGTTCTTAGATACAGCACTCTAGCATTAACGACAGCCTGGAGGCAGGGGTGAGAGCCAAGCCAGCCTGGGGCTGCTCCTACGTCACTTCATTCAGTTGGTCCTGATGAACCCCAAAGCCGATCCGTTGTACGAGCGCCTCAAGCAGGCAGGGCCGGGGCGGAAGCCGCGCTTCGTCCGCTCGCATTTGGATGGTGGAAAAAACCAAACAGCATCGACTTCAGGTCTAGGATTAACTCCCATGCCTACGATTTTTTACTTAATCTTTTAATATTTTTGCTATTCCACTCTGGCTTTTTATTTAAAACACATTCTTTTGTACCACTTAACTGTATCAAATTGTATAAAAGATCACTGTCCCATTCTTGGTCATACCAAGAGCAAATAAAAGCTTTTATAAACTTGCACTGCTTCCTTCCTGGGCCCCTCGTGTCCCGCTGCGTCCCCCCCCCCCCCCCAGCTGTGACCGCGTGGATGTGGCAATAAAGCCTTCCTGCTCTAAGGAACGGTGTTTGGATGCAGCCTTTGCTCGGTGCGCTGTACCGGATCCAGTCCTGTTTGTGTCCCCACGGCTGTCCCGTGCTCTGTGGCCACCACTGCAACCCGGCGACCCCCATCGGGTGGCTGAGGCACTGCCCTTCCCCTCCGTGCAGGAGCCGTTGGCAGCAGCCCCTCTTGGCTGCAGGTTTGGGCAGCGCCACGGGATGCGGGCATGGCCGCGCTCCTCCTCCTGCAGCCGTGGGAGCTGGGAGAGGGGCTTCGTGCAGAGCTGCTGCTGAGGCTGTGGCAGCCGACAGTGCCGCCCTGCAGCCCGGAGGTGTCACTGTGCCACCGTCGCGGTGCCATCCGTGGGGAGGAGGTGGCGCTCCCCGCCTGCCCGGCTCCCAGGTCGGCGCGCTGGGTGTGATGGAACCCGCTCTGATCTCAAGCCCTGTGTGCCAGCAGAGGGGCTCCCTGTCCAACTCCATTCCAACCCCATCCCCATCTCTGCTCCAACCCCATCCCTTCTCCTTTCCTACTCCATCCTCTGCTCCATCTCTGTACTTTTCCCATCCCCATCCCTACGATGTCCATCTTCTCTGTTCCATCCCCATCCCTGCGTTGTCTCCATTCCCATGCCTGCTCCTTTCCTGCTCCATCCCCATCCTTTCTCCACCCTTCTCTGCTCCATCCCCATCCCTCTTGCATCCCTATCTCTTCTTTCCTGCTCCATCCCCATCCTTGCTCCATCCCTGCTCCTTTCCCTGCCGCATCCCAACCGCTGCTCATCCCTATTCCTTCCCGCTCTCCATTTCTTCTCCATCCCTTCTCCATCCCCATCCCATTTCTTCCACCAACTTTACAGTCTCATACGATCACTGAGTATCCCGGGCCCAACAGCTCTCACGAGGGACTGTAACCAATCCCCCCCCTCCCCCCCCTCCGGTTCCGGGTCTGAATGCGGGGATCGCAGCCCCCCGGAAAGCCTTTAGGGGCCGCCCAAAGGGGGCGTCTCCCATCTCCCCCCACCCTCCCCCCCCTTTTCTCCATCCTTACGCTCCTCCAACCCTTTCCCCACCCGGCTCCGGTCCCGGTGAACGACATCGATGGAAAACGGAGCGGTGCTGGCCGCTTCCCCCCCCCCTCACCGCGGCCTCGGGGCCTCCTGAGCCCGACGGCGGCGATGAAGCGGAGGAGATGGAGAAGCTGGCGGCGGGGCTGGCCCGGCTCCGCTGGAACCCCGCGGCTCTGCCCCTGGATGCCATCGTCAGCAAGTGCCGGCTGCCCACGTTGGTGTGCCTGGGGCAGGGTGAGAGCGGCGGGTGGAGGGAAGGGAGGGTGGTAGGGGTTGCGAAAGAGAGGGGTGCGGGGACGGAAACGTTGGAGGGACGGGGACGGAGGGATGGAGAACGGGGAGGGGGTTCAGGGATGGGGGAAGAGGGGCTGAGAGCGTGGAGGAGGTGCAGAGGTGTGGGTGGGGAGCGTGGGGACAGGGATGGGGCCAGAGGGACGGGGAACGTGCGGGGGGTGCAGAGGGATGGGGATGGGAGCAGAGGGATGGGGAACATGGAGTATGCGAGGGATGGGGATAGAGGGATGGGGATGGAGAGCAGGGGCAGTGCGGGGCACAGGGATGGGGGCAGAGGGATGAGGAGCATCCCTCCTGGTCCAGTGTTGAATGTGGAGGTTGGTGGCCCTGCATGCGGCAGCGGGGTTGGAGATTCATGATCCTTGAGGTCCCTTCCAACCCGGGTCATTCTGTGATTCTGAGATTCTGTGAGCATGGAGGGGTTGTTGGGAGTGTGGATGGGAACATGGGACACGAGACAGGGATTGAAGGATGGGGACAGTGGGATTGAGAGCACGAGGAGGTGCAGGTGATGGACGGGGATGGGGAGGAGGAATGGGGTCAGCAGCTGGGGAGCACTGGGGGGGCGCAGGGGACAGGGATGGGAATAGAGGGACAGGGACATGGGAATGGGGACAGAGGGTTGGGGACTGAGGAATAGGAAATGTGAGGGGGAGGCAGGAGATAGGGATGAGGACAACGGGGCACACATGGATGGGGAACATGGAGGAGATGCAGGGGGCAGGGAAGGGGACAGAGGGACGTGGACAGGGATGGGAGAATGGAGGAGATGTGGGGCATGGAGATGGGTATGGGGACAGAAGGATAGGGAACATGGGGGGGGTGCAGGGGACAGGGAGAGGGACAGAGGGATGGGACAGAGGGATGGGAACAGGGACAGTGGGTCTGAGATGGACAGATGGGGACAGGAGGGATTGGGAGCAATAGAAGGCTATAAGAAAAGGATGGGACAAAAGGGAGATGGGGAGATAGGAAGGACATGGAATGGAGGGATGGTGGGGACAGAGGGACAGAGATTCAGGGGGGATGGAGGGGCTGGAGAAGGAGAGGGACTGGAAACAAGGGGGGGATGGAGAGGATGGGACAGGAGCAGGATGGAGCTGGAGCAGCGGAGCAATGGAGGGGCAGGGGACAGGGGGCTTGCGGGTTCGTGGCCCTTTCGGGGGGTCCATGGGGAGGTCCCATCAATGCCACTTGCCTGGCACAGGCGCCTGGGGACACAAAGGGGCTGCATGTGCAGCATTGTACAGCCAGAGCAGGCTTTGCCCATTGCCTGGGTAACTGTTGCTGAGATTCCGGGATGGAAGTGCATGGCACGGCCATGTCCACTGCCTGCACCCCCTGCCTGCCCCACTGCTGCCCAGTGTAAGGTGTGCACGGGGGTGTGCACAGTGATGGCTTCGTGCCTCCAGGTGCAAAAGTGTTGGTGTGCATGAGGTGCAGGAGTGTGCATGGCTATGGCTCTGTGCACCGAGCGTGTGCGTGGGTTTTGCACGGGTGCAGAGGTGCTGCAAGGTGTGTAGGGACAGAGCAGGATGTGAGGGGTTGGGGTGCGCCCTCAAAGCTTGCTGTGTCCCTGGAGATGCTGTGCTGGGGTGCCTGGGCCCCCGAGCCGCTTCGCCCCGTGTCAATAAACTTGTTGTTGTTCAGCTGCTGCTGCTGCAGCCTTTCAAGAGGGACAAAGAAATTGTTTCCAGGGCAACTGGAGGTTCTTGGCAGCGGGCACCTGCTCACCCTGCACCCGGCGGCTCCTGACATGGCTGTCCCCAAGCCCGTGGCTCAGTGCCCCGTACACACACTGTCCCCATAGCCGCACTGAACCCATACCTACACTGACCCCGTACCCACACTGTCCCTTCACCTCCATTGTCCCCAGGGCTGGTGGCACTTTGGGGTGCGTGGCGGGGACACCAGTGGGACCGATGTGGTGGACACCTGACGGTGGGCTGTGACCACGCCGTGTTCCCACGGGTCCCATCCCATCCCCGTCCCCTTGCAGGGGAGTCGGTGGAGGGGGTGAGTGCCCAGGATGTGCTGCTGATCCACTCGTGCCGCCAATGGACGACGGTGACGGCCCACAGCCTGGAGGAGGGCCACTACGTCATCGGCCCCAAAATCGACATCCCACTGCAGTACCCAGGTGGGGGAACGGGGGTGGGGATGGGTCAGGGATGGAGGTGGAGGCAGGGACACGTGAGGATAGGGACGGGGATGGGATGGTGGTGGAGATGGGGATGGGGACGAGGATGGGATGGGTTGGAATGGGGATGGAGGCAGAGATGGGGATGGAGAATGGGATGAGGGTGGGGAGAGGGACAGGGAAGGGACACAGAAAAGGATGGGATGTGGACAGATAAGAGCATGAGGGTGGAGATGGAGACGAGGATGGGATAAGGATGCAATGGAGACTGGACACAAAGGGGATGGGGATGGGGATAGGTACTGGGATGGAATAGGGATGGGGTAGGATACAATGGAGATAGAGACAGGGATAGGGCCAGAGACAGAAATGGAACAAAGCTGGGGATAGGGATGGGTGGGATGAGAATGAAGACAAGGATGGGACACGGGCGGAGGTCAGGATGGGAAAGGGGACGGGGACAGACATGAAGGTGGGGATTGGGATGGAGACAAAGGTGATCGGATAGAATGGAGATGGAGACAAGGATAAAAAAGAAATGGAGCAAGAATGGGGATGGGGATAGCAATGGAAATGGAGATAGGACAGGGAGGGGATGGGGATGGAGGCAAAGATGGGACATCAGCGGAGATGTGGGTGGGAACGGGGAGAGAGTTGGGGATGGGGACAGGGATATGGAGGGGGTGGAGATGGGACATGGATGGGGATGGAATGGTGACAAGGAGGTGGACAGGAACTGGAAAGATGGGAGTGGGACAGGGATGGGTACAGAACAGGGATGGGACAGGGAAGGGCATGGGGCAGGCTGCAGCTGATGAAGGCTGGGGCCACTGTAGCGGATGAAGGTGCTGAGATCACCACGGCCGCCGTAGCAGGAGCCTTAATGACCACTCTAAGTGCTTGCCATGGCGGTAATGAGTCCTGCTAATAAATAAATAATGGGAAATGCAGTGGGGGAGGGGCTGGACGCCCACCCCAGGGAGGAGGATGAGTTAACCAGCTGGTGGGGCCCGGCCATGCCCTGGATCCGTGCACATGGGCTTCTGTGCACCCCAAGCTTGTCCTGCAGCCTCTCACCCCCGCCCTCAGCTCAATGCAGTATCCCCATCCTCCCCGGCTTTTCCTGTCCCCTCTGCGCAGCCCGGCGCCGCAGCACTGAGTTAATATTCCCGTCAGGTCCCGTCCCCGCGACGCTTGTGCTAATGAAGGCAGCTTTGCTCATCAGTGCTCCCTCCGGCTGCAGCTGCACTGAGCCCCCAGCACCCACCCTTACACCCCTGTCCTCGCATCCCCATGAGCCATGTGTGGGGCAGGGGGGGCCGTAGGGCCGGGACACTTGTGCAGATGCCTCTGGATGTCGTTTCCTCCACCCTGGGGGCATTTCTGCGGTCGCTTTGGAGCACTCCTATAGCAATGGGGGATGCTGGAGGGACCCTGATGAGGTTTCCTCGGAGGATAAGCCTTGGGATGTCCCCAGAATTGGATGGGGCAGCTGCCCCAGTGCCCAGTTTTGCCAATGGCTTACAAGGTCCACGGGGCCCACGCTCATTGCTGTGGGGTTGGTTGTGTCCTGCAGGGAAGTTCAAGCTGCTGGACCAGGACCGGGACATCCGTGAGCCCGTGCAATATTTCAATAGTGTGGAGGAGGTGGCCAGCATCTTCCCGGACCGCGTCTTCGTTATGGAGGCCATCACATTCAGCGTGAAGGTTGGTGTGGGGACAGCAGGGGGTGGTGGGGACCATCAGGGGATCAGTAGGACAGGAGGGAATGGCAGGCGGGCAGTTGGGACACCAGGGGACAGTGGTGGGACAGCAGATGAACGTCAGGGAACAGTGGTACAACATCAAGAGATGGCAGTGGGACATTAAGAGGTGATGGTGGGACATTATGGGGTGGTGATGAGAAGTCGGGGTTGGTGGTGGGACATCAGATGATGGCAGTGGGACATCAAGGGGTAGCGATGGGACAACAGATGAACATCAGAGCACGGTGGTGAGGCAGACGGAGCTGGTGGTGGGACATCAGCATGGTTGGTGGGACGCTATCGAATGGCAGTGGGACATCTGAGGGTGGTGGAGTGACATGAGAAGGTGATCAGACATCGGGGTTGGTGGTGGGACACGTGGAACGGTGGTGGGACATCAGAAGATGATGGTGGGACATTAAGGGATGACAGTGGAACATCCAGGGGTTGGTGATGGGACATCAGGGTTGGTGATGGGACATCAGGGTTGGTGATGGGACACCATGGGATGGTGATGGGACATCAGGGTTGGTGATGGGACATCAGAGTTGGTGAAGGGACATCAGGGTTGGTGATGGGACATCAAGAGGTTGGTGATGGGACATCAGGGTTGGTGAAGGGACATCAGGGTTGGTGATGGGACGTCAGGGTTGGTGATGGGACGTCAGGGTTGGTGATGGGACATCAGGGTTGGTGATGGGACATCAGGGTCGGTGATGGGACATCAAGAGGTTGGTGATGGGACATCAGGGTTGGTGAAGGGACATCAGAGTTGGTGATGGGACGTCAGGGTTGGTGATGGGACATCAGGGTTGGTGAAGGGACATCAAGGGGTCAGTGATGGGACATCAGGGTTGGTGATGGGACGTCAGGGTTGGTGATGGGACATCAGGGTTGGTGATGGGACACCATGGGATGGTGGCGGGACAAAAGAAGACAGCGGTGGAGTGACGTTGTGAGATGGTGACGGGCAGGTGGTGTCGGGGGAGTTCAGCGAGGACAGCGAGGTGTACAACTTCACGTTGCACGCTGGGGATGAGCTGACGCTGATGGGGCAGGCGGAGATCCTGTGCGCCAAGACGGTGAAGGAGAAGTCGCGCCTCAACACCCTCCTGCGGAAGCTGGGCAAGGCGGCGCCTGCGGCAGGGGCCAGGCAGGTGAAGGGCAAAATGCCGTGCCTGATCTGCATGAACCACCGCACCAACGAGAGCCTCAGCCTCCCCTTCCAGTGCAAGGGCCGCTTCAGCACCCGCAGCCCGCTGGAGCTGCGCCTGCAGGAGGGCGAGCACACCATCCGCAGCATCATCGAGAAGGTCCGGCTGCCCGTCAACGTGGCCGTGCCCAGCCGGCCGGCGCGCAACCCTTACGACCTGCACGCCATCCGCGAGGGACACTGCTACAAGCTGGTGGGCATCATCTCCAAGACGGTGGTGCTGTGCTGCATCCTGCGGCGCGAGCGCCTCGTGCCCTTCCACTTCTTGCTGCTGGCCGACATGCCGCGCTTCCAGCTGCCCGAGGGGCTGCTCGGCGGGGACCCGCAGCTGGAGAAGCTGCTGCGGGACAGCGCGGCGTATTGCCACGAGCGCTTCAACCCCGACGAGTACTCGCGGGCCGTGCGGGAGGCCAAGCCGGATTTTTCGGAGGAATGCGCCAGCCCCCGGCGCCTGCGGCTCTGCCTGCCGAGCTGCGGCCGCGAGGAGCTCAGCCAACCCCTGCAGAGGCTCTCGCTCTGCTTCTACGGTGGGGGGCTGCCCCGCGCACCCCTGGATTCAGCCACCCGCTGCGGGGACCCCCCTGATTTTACCGAGCCTGAGAGGGAGTATGTGACGCCCGACTGGGCCGAGCCAGAATTCAGGACTCAGGAACCACTGGAGATCCCTTACGAAGAGCTCTGGAGCAACCAGGGCTTGGAGAGCTGCTCTTCCTCACAGCCCAGCACTGCAGGGCGGCCGGACCTCATCGCTTTCGGGGCCACGTCCCCGCTGGGCTCCCCGCGACGCGCCAGGGATGAGCCGCTGGGGGACGCACCACCGCCGGTGCCACCCAAATCAGAGGCGGTAAGGAGGACTGCGGGGTGGCCTGTCAGCCTGCTCCACCTCCATGGTGGGTGCTGTTGGGTTGCCCAAATCCTCTGGGATCCATGGGGTGCTCACATCCTTTTACCCACATCCTTTGGTCTCCATGGGGACATGCACGCCGTCAGATCTGTCCAGTAGGATGCTCGTGCCACAGGGTCCCTCCTTGCTCAGTGAGGTGTCCACGGCTCTGTGCATTGGGTTGTAATGCGTGGCTCCATCCTCAGGAGAGCCCTGAAGCCCACTGGCTGCACCATCAACACCAGAATCCCCAGGGTCCCTTGTGGGTACCCAAATCCTTTTGGATCCCTACACCAAACCTTGCAGGATGACCTGCACCGAGGGGCACCCAAATGCCTGCACCGAACCCTTTGAGCTCCCTGCAGCACACCTTGCCGAGTCCTTGGGGCACCACTGGGTAACCAGAATCTTTAGGCTCCCCCTGCACCATGGGGTACCCTGCACCTCCCCAGTGCTGCATCCTCGTGTCTCGATAACTGAGGACCAGAGGGGCTCCCCAGCACCTCAGGGGATTCCTAGGGCAGATTCCTGACATGGCTCACCCCATTGCAGGTGAAGGAGGAGTGTCGGCTGCTGAATGCCCCCCCTGTGCCACCTCGGGGAGGCCGCCCCACGGTGCCCCGCAGCCCCCCAGCCCCGCTGCGCTTCCCAAAGCTGGCACCTGCTCCCTCGCCCAGCCCCAGCCTGTCCTACTACTCCTCGGGGCTGCACGACGGGTGAGTGGCTCGGGGACAAGGGATGGCCAAGGCTTGGGGGCAGGCTTTGGGGAGACACACTTTCTTTCTGCAGGTCAGCCCCGCGGAGTGGCAGCGGCTCGCCTTCACCTGACGCTTACTCCCTCTATTGCTACCCCTGTGCGTGGGGAGACTGCAAAGCTGGGGATCCCCCCGGCTGCCCGCTGCCCCCCGCTGCCCCTCCGGCCCCCACCGCCTGGTCCGATCCCTGGGCCTACACCGAGGCAGGGGGGAACAGCAGCTGCTCCACACCACCGCCCGCCACTGAGTCCCCTCTGAAGCCTTTCCGGAGCTGCCCCCGCCTCAAACCTCCTCACTCCCAAAAACGCTTTGCACCCTTTGGGGCGCTCAACCCCTTCGCCGGTGCAACCGAGTGGCCTGAAAGCCCCGAGTGGCCCAAACCACCTTCAGCCCCGGCTGCGCCCTCTTCCTCTTCTTCACCAGAGTCCTTTGAGGGCCTGGAGCCAGCGGCCCCCCCGCGCCCACCCAAGGGCTTTGACGGGGACGGCATCGTCATCCGTGGCACGGCCCCGCTCTCTCCTGCCGTGCTGAGAGGCGCTGAGGGCGGCGTCACCCACCTCTACCTGGCGCAGGGCGTTATCGAGGTGCCACCGGGGACGTGGGGTGAAGGGGGGGCCCCGCCGGCTGCCCCAAGGCCCAGTGGGGACGGTTCACCCTGGCTGCCCCCTGCCGACCTCTCGGCCCTGTCGGTGGAGGAGGTCTCCAAGTGCCTACGTTTCATTGGCCTCTCCGAGGACGTCGTCAGCTTCTTCGCGCGGGAGCGCATTGATGGCAGCATCTTCGTGCAGCTCAGCGAAGAGATCCTGGCTGATGATTTTCGCCTTACCAAGCTCCAGGTGAAGAAAATCATGCAGTTCATCAAGGGCTGGCGCCCCAAAATCTAGCCTGACGATGGGGTACTCACAGGAGCCCCAACCCAGCAGTGCCTCTCCCCACCTTTCAGCTGTGGGGTTTCCTCCTTCCTGAGCCTCTCCCTTTCCTGTTGCAACACTGGACAGTTCATTTTGGCCTGAAAGGGCTGGAAAACACTGGAGTTTGCATTGACTGGTTTAACTTAATCCTTGTGGATTAGTGTAATAAAACATACGGGAGAAAACAAGCTGCTGGAAGAGTCCCTTGCTTGGGGAGGAGGGGGACAGGGACAGTGCAGAAGATGGGAGGGTGGCATAGCACACCCAACGCTGTCCCTGTGTCCCCAGGGCAAGCAGAAGCAGCAGAGAGCTCCCTTGTGGGCTGCCACCTCCCCGGCCTCATGGCAGAGGTCGTGTCTCAACTCAGCTCTACAGTGCTGGCTTTGAGCAGAGCACAAACCCAGCACGGAAAGAGCAGTGAGGACCCTGCTTGGCTCTGCTTGGGCTGGGAGACAGACCTGGCACTACAGCGAGGGGGAGGCCGGCAGGGCTCTGAAATCAGTGACAGGTGCAGAGATTTAAAGCCTTTTAGTTTAAATTGAGCTCTCCCCACGGGGGATCCTTCTGGCCTTTGGCTGCTTGATTTGCAATTACAGGCGGGTCCATCTGCCAAGATAACACTGGCGGCAGCGCTCAGGGCCAGACAAAAGAGCCGGAGGCTCCTCGCAGCCACTGATGGATGGCGGAGGTGACAGAGCAGGGCTTTGTTCTGCACTGCCGGCCTTTTTCCACTCCCCCCTTGCTCTCCCCTTGGTTGGTCTCACAGCTCAGCAGGCTGCCAGCAAGCGTGGGCGGCCCACCACATAGCGAGAGGACCCCTGAGGATTGCCTGAACGCTTTATTTCCACCCCACAGTGGCTCTGTTCTTCAGTGCCAAGCGGCCGAGCCCCAGCGAGAGCAGATGAGAAGCAGGCATGGAGTCCAAACCCAGGAGATGGGGATTTATTGGTAGAGGTTCATGGAAAGGGAAGGCCCCAGGGCCAGCCATGTGGAGGATGGTGCCTGCCAGGCCCCAAGAGCACTGGTGGGTGCAACATGGAGGTAAACGCAGAAGGAATTCTCTCTCAGCCACCAGGCTCACACAGGTGCAGGACGGATGCGGCCAACACACAGCAGCTGATAAGGCACTTGAAATGAATACAAGCCACAAGGCAATCTGCTGCCACCCTTCTTCCTTCCCTGCCTCCCTAGGGTGCCTTGCAGATTAACCTTAAAGAGAATTGGAGGCGGTGGAGCACCAGTGCCCCCGGGGGCTCAAGCTGATGGTGCAGCACAAATGGGCATCGTGTGCCACGCTCACTGGTGGAACTTCTTGCCTGGGTTGTTGGCATAGTCCAGCAGCAGCTGGCATGGTGTGAACTGGCTGCCATAGACGGCCTCATACTTCCGCAGCTTGTCCACCAGCTGCTTGGCACCATAGGAGTCCGCATACCTGAAGGGACCTGGAGGGACAGGGGGACACGTGCTGAAGGAGGGAAGAGCACCGAGGCTTCTGGAAAGGTGACAGCACTGCATCTGGCTGATATGCCACAGAATCCTTAGAGTTGGATGGGACCTCTGAAGGCCATCCATTCCAACTCCCCTGCAATGAACAGGGACAGCACAGCCAGATCAGGTTGCTCAGGGCCTGATCCAGAAAGGCCTTGCAAATGTCCAGGGATGGGACATCAACCACAGCTCTGGGCAAAGTTTTCCAGCACTTTTTCACCACTCCATAGTTTTTCACCACTCTCACTGTAAAAGGCTTTTTCCTTATATCTAAGCTAAATCTGCTCTTTGTAAGCTTGAAACCATTTCCCCTGACACTTACCTCCCAAGCAAGGTGGGAAGCCCAAACCAAACACAGCACCAATGTCTCCCTCCACGGGGTTGCTGAGGATCCCCTCCTGCAGGCACATGGCTGCCTCGTTCACAAACCTCGTTACCAAGCGCATCTGGATGTCCTCATCAGTACAGCTGCAAAGGAAAGAACATCTTTCAGGGCTGTGCAGCTCGAGACAGTAGTTTAACAGAAGAGTATGTGAAGAAAGAAGTGAAGGGACAGGGGAGGGGAGGAAGCTTTTCTCATTGGAGCTGTCCCCAGCCATGTGAGGTTAAGCACTGCCAAGTTCTGTGCTGTGACTCGAAGCAGGCACGTAAGAATGCAAGGAGTTGAGCTCCCAGATGGGAGACATTTCAGCATCAGGCTGCACAACAGGTCTGACACATGAAGGCCATGGTAACCCACCTGCTCTGACAAACCCAGCCACCACAGGAAGCCTTTCTGTAAAGGCACTCAAGCAAGGCTGATGAATTCAAGGATGCTCTACGACAAACACGGGCTCTCCTGAGCCAACAATCTGCTCCCCTACATGGTAGCTGCTAACAGCCAACTGGCATCCAGAGTGACCCCGTATTCAATGCTATCTTTCAAGGCTCCTGGTGCAGACGTTGTGCTTGGAGTCAGGAGGAGCTGGGCAGGGCATGAACCACAGCACCACTCAGTGCTGCAGGTACTCACACTTCAGGTTTAGCTGGCAACTTGAACTGCGCCAAGATCTCATCCATGCCAGAATTCAAGCTCCTGTTTTTCACCCCCTCCTGGTAAATGTAGAAACCCTTCCCTGCCTTGCGGCCTGCCAGGGAAAAAAAAAAGAAGACAGTCACATCCTGCCATTTGTCTCACATGCTCACAACACCTTTGCCTCTGACCTCGTGACTCCCACTTCTGCTAGCATGACCAGATTCTCACAGCACAGGCAGCCTCTGCTCTTCACAGCAAGACTGCTTGCTGCCTCACCAAGAAGAGGGGGAAGGGGCTCATGGCCAGCTGTCTCCTTGGCAAAATGCTGCCACCTGTGCCAGACCCCCATGCCTTCACTACGTCCAGAGGACACCCAAATAACGTCACCATTTGCATGGCTTTGGCAGTAAAAAAGATGCAGTCCTTGATTGTAGGAGCAAGGGACAGAGGACAAGCTCTGAGTAACTCTAACTGCCAGGTTCTGGTCACAGCAAGGGTTGTTTAGAGGGTGAGAGGTGCCACAGCCCAAGTGCAGGCCCCACTGCTGCACATAGCTCCATCCTGGCATACTCAGAGGCACAGCTGACTCTTGAACCCACCAGGAAACAGCTTCTGCCATATGGACAGAGCCACTGCCTTCTTTCACATGGAGCTTCTATAAACCTCAGGTCAGAGCTCGCTTCATTTCAGCGCATTCATTTTTTCCAGACACTTGCTTTTCATGTCCCTGCACGTGCAGATCCAATGAAAGAGACAGGCAGAGCTTCGTGGCATCCTGCTTGCTGCTTTTGCTCTAGGCAGCAGAAGTCATTTCTGCAAAGGAAGGTCCCAAGGCTTACTCAGGGTACAGCTTCCCATCCCTTTCCTAGGACTGCTCTGTCTGCTCTCACCTGAAGCAGAAGAGGCCGATGGATGCAAAGTACTTTTCCTTGGAAAAAAAAAAAAAAAAAAAAAAAGGAAATGTTGGATTACAACAGCTTAACACCTCACCTAAGAAGCCCTTCTGCACCATGAGCTTGAACAAACCGATGCTGCCACCTCCGAAGCGCTCGCCGAAGGCCTTGCCGAGATCCTCAGCCACGTGTGTGGCCACATCCACACCAACCTCATCAATCAATGTGGCAGCACCCACTGGAAAGCCAAAGGCTGTAGAGATGGCATCCACCTTCTTTGGGTCAACACCCTCCTGCAGGGATAGAAGGGAAAGAAGTGAGATTTCTGGAAACCCACTGTGAGGGGCAGAAAAGCTCGTCTGGGGTCACAGACTGTGACAAGCCCCATTAGCTGCTTGACAACAGAAAGAAGCAGTGTAATTGTGCTCCCAGAGCTCCTAGTTCTCCCCTGACTTTGTGCAGAGAGGAAAACCCCAGGCACCAGGTCTCATCAGACCAGATTACATCCAAGAAAAGGCTGAAGATAATGACAGGCACCAAGGCTGGTGCCTCACTTCATTCATTAACACAGTGGGATGCAAATTCCTTATTGGTGGCACCAAGTTCCATGCAGGACAGGACTCTCTTCTGCAAGATTGTTTCAACAGAGCAGAAACCTGCCCAGCTCAATCCCTGAACAGGGCAAGGGTAGGACGTGGTAGCAGGGATTTGCTTGTTGTCTCTGTGTGCTGTGACATACCCTGCTGAGGACAACCTGCCTCTTAGCCCACAAAGACTCTCTCATGCCTACTCTGGTCAGCAGCAGAGCCAAGAGAAACCTGTGTGTACACCCCTGCCTTGCTCCCAATCATTATTTGAATGTTGAGCATGTAATGTTGCCCTCTGCTTTGCAGCCCTGGACTCAGGGAGAGCTGCCTTGCAGGCAACGCATGGCACAACACAGAGCAGACCATAGTGCAGATAAAGGGGGTAACCTTGCAAATGCAATGCACGCTCTGCCTCATATGTACCCTAAATGGTTGGAAGTCTAGATCCAGCACTGCAAGAATTGTCCAAATGAGCCTCCCAACCACTTTAGTGAGAGAACCCACATCTAATAAAGAGTCTGAACAGAGAAACTGGGCCAAGGGTTTGGAATCTTGTAGAAACCGATCATCAGACTTCAGTGGAATTTTATACCCAGTGAGTATTTCCAAGCCAGGATCTGGGGAGAAAACCTCTCCCTAGCAGACACCAGGAAGGGGCTGGTTAGTAAGGGCTAACAGTTTAATGTGTGGCTCTGCAGGTTCAGCTGCATGTCAAGGATGTAGTGAGGAGACAGCCATTCTGTGGGTTTACTTTACACCAATTAGTTGCCTGAGCTGTTCCTTGTCTTGCAGGCTTACCCAGTTTCCCTTCTCATCCAGAACTTGGACCAGACTGACAGGGCAAGGAAGCAGTAGAATTTACATTACTGTTTGATGGACACTGTAGCCCATGGGATACACACCTGGAGAACTCGGCCCACTTCTGCCAGCATTGGCCCCAGGCACCTGGTGGTGTAGAAACCAGGTCCATCCTAGGGAGGAAGAGCACAATAGGAAAGCAGGTGAGAACAACCTGCAGGGACAAACTGCCTCTATCAGCAGTGCAAAAACTGAGCTTTACAGCTCAGGCTGCAGTTCAGGCACTGACACGCATGGCAGAGACACTCAACTCCATTTTAATGGAATGCAGTC